TCCCCCTGTTGNGTCCTTGCCCTCCCACGTACTGTTGGAAACCCAACTCGGGCTCAAGTCCTTTATAACTCGACCTAAGTGGAAACTACTCGGCCGATTTTTCTATCACTGATCACTACAAAAAATTATTATAGGACTAAATGCAAGATTAATGTTATATTGCATACTAATTTAGTACGGAAAAAGTTTATGTAATGTGTCAACTTTATATTGTAGAAGTAAGGCACACTTCAAAAATCATCCAAAAATGTTGTTTAGACATTGGACAACCACTATTTGATCATCTCGACTTCGATATCTATTGATAAAAAATAAAAGATTTGAGTTCCAAAAATAAATGCATCTTATAACACATTATCTGGACCATTTATTTTCAAGATTTTCAAATGGTTATGGATCTACTTGATTTAAACCATTTTTATAGTTTAAAGATTTACCATTAGCGACGAAAATAGATTTCAAGTCATTCTAATTATTTTGGACACCAAATTACAACTTACGACAAAGTTTTGTGGTGTGCATTACTTCGATTATTAAAGGTTGCCCATTTAATAAAGGTGCAGGTCGATCTTAAACAATTAAAGTAGATGCATATCAAAATTTGGATAAAATATACATTTATGGTACAAAAGCCCTTATGATAGCTCAGAAGTCTATTTTTCATCCCTAATTTTGAATATGAACAACCCAAATGATGTATTACAAGATGCAATAATTTTAATATTTTAAAATTTTTTTTTTCTTCTATATTCATATATCTTGATGTTGAAATGATCAATTGTAAGGTTTCTTAATATCAAAACAACTTTTTAGATAACTTTTTGAGGTGCACCTTACTTATAATATAAATTTATATAAAGTAAATTTATATAAAGTTGACATCTTGCATGAAGTTTTTCCTTAACGTAAGTATCCCTACCTTTAGATGTTACCAAAGGAACAGTGAAGAGGAAGATGCATCCTGGGCATATGTGGTTGATGTTGCACAATGGGGTGATGCCAAAGTATAGCAGCGTATGACTCAAATCCAATTACCAGTCATAACATGAACGCTTGAAATAAGTTAGGGCCCGTTGGAAATAGGCCCAACAACCCTATTCTTTAATGGAGTTATCAGGAAATAATGGAAATTCCACAATCCGTGGGGGATCATAGGGCTTTTGCCATTAAAGGACTTACTTAATGGGAAAGGTTAAGTGGTAGTACCTCGACATTTTAGTCATCAAGTTGTGGTTTTCAGTCATACTGACACCACATTACTAATACCTTCAAAAAACTTAACTCCTAAAATATTTGAAAATGACCGAATGTGAAGGCAAAAATTGAGGAGGTGCTTAATTGTTTAATGGATGTCGATGTTAGGATCCAAAACTCTTGTGTTTTATCGGAGGAGTTAGCTGTAGCTAGAAGCTCCAAAATTAGTGAGCTTCATGAACTTCGAAAGGTAGAAGAGGTGTACTACAAGCAACGATCTAGGATCAAATGGCTTAAGGAAGGTGACTTAAATATTAAATTCTTTCATGCCACTGCTAATGCTAGGATACGTCAAAATGATGTTTCTGGGCTTTTAATTGCAAGTGTGGACCCTGAAAATTTAGAAGGGATGTCTAATGCAATGGTGATCATTTCAATAAGGCTTTTACAACAGAGGTTAGGATCACACCTCGCCTGTCTAGGGTGGATTTTAGTCGTCTTAATGATGTTTCTATGACATTACTTGAGAGGGATGTGTCCTTAGAAGAATTAAAAAAGCAGTGTTTGGTCTCCCGAGGAATAAGGCTCCAGGACCAGATGGATTTCCTTTGTTATTTTTTCGCAAATTTTGGAATTTGACTTCCTTAGTACTATTGGATATGGTGTGTGGTTTTTTACAAAAGGGGGAACTTTTCAAAGCGGTTAATTCTGCCTATATCGCTCTTATCCCTAAATAATTGATCATCGGGTGCTTGGGAGATTTGAGACCTATTAGCCTTCTCTTAAGTATTTACAAAATCATTGCTAAGGTTTTGGCTGAAAGACTCAAGACGGTTTTACTGAAGGTTATTGTGGGATCATAATCTGTTTTCTTCAAGGATCGAATGATTTCTAATAGTGTTTTGATTGTTCAGGAGTGTATTCATTCTAGATCTGTTAGTGGTGGTGCAGGGGTTGTGATCAAACTGGATATAGAAAAACTGTATAGAATATTCTTCTTGAAATTATGAAAAATATGGGGTTTGGGGAGAAATAGAGAAATTGGATGTTTGGATGCCTATCCTCTACACATTTTTCAATACTTTTCAAAGGCAGTCCTACTGGCTTTTTTGGTACTTCGCGAGGGCTTCGTCAAGGGGACTCATTATCTCATTTTCTGTACACCATCTATGCTGAATGCTTTAGTCGTATTCTTTGCAATGTCTAAACAAAAGGACATTTTAAAGGCTTTCAAATGCCGAACAATGGTTCTTACATTTCGCACTTGCAGTATACAGATGATACGCTGTTATTTTGTGAGGCCAATTGTGAGCAAGTGGAAAATATTGCAACTTTCTTGCAATGCTGTGAAGTGGCTTTAGGGTTAAAAGTGAAAATTGAAAAATCAGCAGTAGTTGGCATTAATTGTGTTGATTCTTCAATGTGTGTTATTGTAGGGGTTTTTGGATGTAAGGTGGATTTTTTCCCTATTTGGTATTTAGGAATGCCAATCTCAGATAGACGTCTTCCTATTGCTATCTGGGATAAAATCATTCAAAGAATTCAAGTCAAGCTGGACCTTAAGAAGTTTAAATATTTGTCTTTGGTAGGAGGATTATCTTGATTAAAGCATGCTTATCTAATTTGCTTACCAAATGTCGTTGCTAATGACTCCCCCTCTGGTGGCAAAAAAAATCGAGACACTGAGGTGCAAATTCCTCTGGGGATCCTTTGATAACTCCAAGAAGTTCCACTTACTTCGATGGGATAGGATGTGCACTCCTCTGAGGGAAGGTGGATTGGGTTTAAGAAATATTTCATTGGTTAACCAAGCACTGCTATGTAAATGGTGGTGGCGTAGTCTAAATTTCAAAGATCAGCTATGGTATCAAGTCAACATTGCCAAGTATGGAGAAGACAGTTTTCATATGTGGGCTGCTTTAAGAAGTGGTACAAGGGGAGTGTCTTATTGTTGGAGATCTATTAATTACTGTAAGAGTTTGATTCATAGGGATATTAGATGAAATTTGGGAAGTGGGCCAAATATTTCCTTTTGGCATCATAAATGGCTTGGTGACACCCCACTTAAGTATTTGTTTCCTTTGGTTTACCAGCATATGAAAAATTCTGATGCTGTTGTATTTGACATATTTGTATTAAGGGGAAATCAGGTTGATTGGAATATTGTCCTCCCCTATAATAGAATCTCAGAAGTGGTTTTTTAGGAATATGTTCAACTGCTTGCCCTCTTACAAGAAGTCTATATCCCGCAAGTTGCTTCTGATGAGGTAATTTGGGAGCATGCTTCTGATGGAGTTTTTTCGGTTAAATCTATGTATAATTTGCTCTTTCATCACTGATGGAAATGGTCTATGCTGGAAATTGTAGCAATACGAAAATGGCATGTACCACCCAAGGTCAAAGCTTTTTTGTGGCTGGCTGTGCAAGATAAGGTGCTCACGGTTGATAATCTCATCAAACGAGGTAACATGTTGCCAAATATCTGTTTATTATGCAAGAATGACGTTGAAACAGGGGCCCATTTGTTATCGCATTGTCCTTTTACCCTACAAATTTGGCACTGGTTTTTTGTCCAATTGGGAAGTTCTATGACAATGCCTGTGGCTGTACAAGGGATTATTTCAAATTTAGCAGTTTTGTGGCTGCCACCAATTGGTGTGGTTTTATGGCAAATTTCGAGAGGCATTCTTCTATGGGATGTTTGGAAGGAGAGAAATATAAGGGTGTTTGATGGGATTAGTTTGTTTGTGGGCTGTGTGTTGGATAAGATCTTACATTTCGTCTGGCTATCTTGCTCTATTACAAAAATAGGTAAAGATATTCTCGAGATGGATGTGAGAAGAAAACTTTCAAACATCCTTAAATTGAAACTTTTTACCTGCAGGCCTTAGGGTAGATGGACACCACATTTGTTTGGGGTTTTCAAATTAAATTTTGATGGGAGTTCTCTAGGAAACCCAGGTCCTACTGAATTTGGAGGTGTTCTGAGAGATTGGAATGGAGTAGTGATATTTTTTTATGTTGGACCTTTGGGTGTTAAAACTGCTAATTCCTCGGAGATGATGGCTCTTCTTCATGGGCTGAAACTGTTCACTGCTAGAAATTTTGGCATGCCTTGTATAGTGGAAGGTGATTCTCTTAATGCCATTAAGTGGTGTAAGTTGGACCAAAAACCACCTTGGGAAATCCGGTCTCTTTTGTTGGAAATTTTGGACTTATCTAGACCTCTTATTTGCTCTTTTGTTCATGTCTTTCGTGAGGCCAACGATTTGGCAGATTCTTTTGCCAAAGGTGGAACCACTTTATTTGAGATTTTAGTCTCTGACTTTATAATTTCTTTTAGTTCCTTATCAATAAAGCTTTGAACTTTTATCAAAAAAAAAAAATTGAAAAAATAGGTAGGTACCGTCTTCCCCATTGAATTACCTAAAAAAAAAAGACACAGTGAGTCAGCCTATTCACTTAATTTTTTATGTAGAATTGTACACAATGAGACCATTTATCTTTCATATAAGGTGGTTACAATTACTAACAACCATCCGATATGAAATTTGATAGCTTGGGTATGTCACAAAGTTCGAGAAAGTTTCTGTTGAAATTTGAGCTTGGTCAATGGAATAAATGCAACTACCCAATTTCATATTCAATGGTCAAAATTAATTGTGACCACTTTGTACCAAATATAATCTGTCTCATTCTATACTTTTTCTTTTTTTTGCAGCTTAAATGCATCACACATCCTAGACAAGTTAAAATGAATAGTAGAATCTTTATTTTTCCCAAAAATCACAATTTTTTAATTTTTTTTTTAAAAAACTCTAGATTCATATCATGATTGAGATTAAGAAACCCTAAAATTTTAGATCCAAAATCCATCTAGCCAAGGTACACACATAAATAGGTGAATTGGCTCACCAAACACTTTTGTCACTTACCCAAAAAAAACAAACACGTTTGTCTTTAGCAGGATAGGCCCAGCCCAAACAATATGCACGTGGGCTTTGCCGTTAGCCCGATCCTCAGAACAACCAGGGTTCTTGAAAACAGGCCCGGCTTAAAGCATGCTGGCCAGCCGGATCCATTTAGCAAATGTCCTTTAACAAGCGCGCTTACAATTTTTCAGGGGGAAAAAATAAACACATGATCTACAAGTGCAAACTGGACGCTTACACCCAAGGAAAATCGTCGTTTGGTGTATTATTTCTTGGACCACGACATTTGAAATATTGTGAACCCATCGAAGTTACCAATCTTAAAAACTAAACATAAGAGCCAAATTCGCACTCGAAAACTCCCTAAACAAAATCGCGCCTCAAGAGTAAACACTGGCCATCCAATTTTGGATCCAATATCTACCAACAAAAAAAACAAAATAGAATATGCACCGTAAAATCCCCTAAAAATAGTTAAGTCAGTTTGCATTGGTGCATTGGCTGAGGCATCAAAACCCCAATATTCATGGGCCTGATTACCTCATCAATGCATATAACTCAAATACGAAAACCCAAAATTTATTGAACCCAATCCTCAGTTGTGAAATTGTATCTATAATTCATACAAAGATGTTGAGATGGATGAATAGCAAAAAATAAAAGATAGAATCTTAAATGAATAATACATTAAGAACTTTAAGTATAGCTCTAATAGGAAAGAAAATAAATTTAAATAAGCTGATCGCAATACAACAATTGAAGTGCAAGTTAGTTCAAGTGGACGGTTAAAAAAAAAGTAAAGAATAGGCCAAAAATGATATGGTTAAAATAATGAGAAAAGATATAATGACTTATAGCTTCACTTGCGGGTACGGTCTTTGATAGAATAAAATGATGGCCTACCCCAAAAAGTTGGAAAAAGGATCCAATGATCATGATCATGACCTATAATTCATGCAAAGGAACCCACTCAGTTTTTTGAGTCTGTACCTATAATACATGCATCGCATCTATTATTTCAGGGATTGAATCCATGTAGGCTAAAATTCAAAATTGATTCCTCCAGAAGAAGTCCTCAAAAAAGAATTCAATATCTCACTGTAGGAAAGCAGCTAAAAACCACTGTTTTCTTCCTAGATAATTACTTTCACATGTAAATCCAGGAACAACAAAGAAGACAGCTTAAACACATTTGAAGTCTCACTCCTTGCATATATCTGCAAACTCATCAGGTTCCACAGCTGAAACACATTTCAAGTCTCACTCCTTCCATATGCCTGCAAACTCATCAGGTTCCAATGGATTCGATTCTTCATGCATTTTCCTCTTCTTCTTGGCTTTGATCTTCTTTGCATATTTACCAGCTTTCTTTCTCTTCCCCAATGCACGTATCTAAAGTAAAGATCAACAAGAACATCCTAAGGCTCCCAATTGCAATGCTGACTTGTACAATTACAATTGAAATTATGTAGAACTACCAAAAGATTAAATGCTTCAGAAAGACATCAGCAACTCATTGGAAACCACAGAAACATAGCTAAACTTCATTGACAGGTGCAATACCATCATGCCAAAAAATGATATCTTTCTTTGCCATAAGAAGCCATTTGAATAAACAATATAAAATCTATAGAACTCAATGATTAATTTTCAAGAACAACAAGAAAAGCATTCTGCAAGTTCACTTGCCCTATGTGTGGTTTCTTGGACATTTTTTGGAAGAGAAATCTACATGTCCTATTTCATTATTTGGGCCATTATGCTCCATTTCATAAGTAAAAAGAATGTGTTTTCATTCTTTGACATATGTCACTATTGATACATGATTAAGTATCAAAAGCTTCTTGGAAGCATGTAAAAGTATCGTCAATTTTTTAATGTTTATACATTAAAAAATAAAATTGGGAAATAAACAAAGGATCTGTTTGGATGTGCCCATAAGCCACATGCACAAGGCAGGCTTATCGGTTATGAGGACCTCTTGTTCTTTTAAGGAAATGACACCATTGCAGATATGTGCCTGTTGTGCACAAAAATCAGTGGAAAATCTTGGCATCAACGAGCCTTTGCGTGTAAGCCCACCTTGTGCGGTGCTTAAGGACACACCAAAACAGGGCCATAGTACATAAATTTTATTTATGATATGTCAGAAAACACATCCAGAACAGGACTTATAATGTACACCATCAGGAGCGAATTGTATGTTTGGTCCCTCAGGCAATTCCCCACAAAAGTCCTCGATCTGAAATTCTGGGATCCACTTTAAATCACTAGATAAGCAGTTCTAAAAAAGAGGGCGAAGAGTGTGGGGGGGGGGGGAGGTGGGGGGAAGAAGAGGAGTATGGGTTCTTATACACCTAGATCTAACCATCCAAATTTGATCCCAGGGCATGACTTTTTCAGGCACTTCCAGAGTGCAAATGCATTTTTTTTATTAGGTTGGTCCTGGGTTGAATAGGTTACATCCCCCAAATTTTGGGTCCTAAAAATGTTCCTAACTAGGGTTTGCCCAAAGGAGCAAGCAAACGCAAGTCTTGCTCCCTCGAGAGCATATAATCTTTCAGCATCTAGAAAATATATTACATAAGCTTAAATGCAAGCATACTAGTATCTTGTTTTCCAGTAATTATTTAAAATATAAGAGCGGTTTAGTAGGGAGCTTATTCAGACACGCACTTTTCAAGTATCCACCCACTGCTTTTGATCCTGCCACCAAGAATGAGGGTGGGAATGCTAAAGAATGACTGATTTTCCCACCGACAGTGTTCGAAGGAAAATGATTGAATATGCTTTCTTCTAGTATTATGCATTCTTATCCATCATCTTTTCTCCGAGAATCAATTAACAGAGGTTATGAAAAATTACTATATGTACACCTGCTGTCATTTTTATTTTGAAGCATTAGACTAGACTAGCCCTTCAAGAGTTCAAAGAGCACCAAAGGAATCAAACGTGAACACAGAAATAGTATTTCACATACATGGAGAAGACTTATTTAGAGTATGTAGAATCATGAAACATCCTCTATCCCTATAGAGCACACATCTTTTGAAGAATAAAATATCAAGAAACATTTTACTTTTTTATTACTTCTGTATTTTCACTTTTCAGAAAAGGATAAGGTCATATAGATATGGAACATTATTCTATCCATACGGAGCACACATTGTTTGAAGAATAAAATATAGAGCAACATTTTACTTTTTATTACTTCTGTATTTCACTTATCAGAAAAGGATAAGGTCATCTATATTTTTGATGCAAGAAAATGTCTACAGCCCTTCTGACTCGGGAGCTTATAGGGGTGATTCTCCAAAATCCTACAGAAAAACATAGAACTTAATGCAAATTTGCAAGGTGCCGATGAAGCACATATAGGATTAACCTCTGTTCAGAGAGGAGGTGAAGAAAACATTAAAAAGTTAAGTAACAGACGAGGTAAAGGCCAAAATCAAAGTACAAAGATATAGTAAAAGGGGAACATGAAACATCACTCCCAAAACCTATGACAAACCACTGCAGCTCAAAAGTTCAAGGCAAATGTAAAACAATGATTCACCACTGAGACTCAAAGTTCAAGGCAAAAGCAAGATTACCTGGTTTGGAGATATATATAATGGATTCTCATACAATGTCTGGCCTCCAAAACTGCCTCCAAAAATCTTGATGGGATTCAAGCAAAATCTGGGACCGACCTATACATGCCACAAACAGATCCAACTTAGAAGAAAAAAATAATGACATCAACTTAACGGATATCGTCAAGAAAAGAAAGTTTCCTGACCTCTACAAGAGTCATCTTGTCTAACCCTCCACGGTCGACTTTATCAATTTCATTGTGTGGAACAGAAATCTGAAATCAAGAAAAAGTAAACAGCAATACACCAACATCTTCTGTTTTTTCTTTTTTGCTTGTTTGATCAGTAAAACATAATAATAAAATATTAGAAATAGAAATAATAAGAAATAAAACAAAAAGTGAAGTCCTAATGAGAAGTTTCTATAAAAAGCCAAAACCATAAACTAAACAAATCCAATGTCATGATGTTTGGGATTTGGCAACAGTGTGTTTAGGTTTATATTATATCAGACAAACAATAAACAACACAAATTATTTTATATTGGAATTTAAACTACAGCCACCAAGAAGCAATACCAAGTTACCCACATATGCACAGCACGCACCTACAAACACATGCATAAAACACGAGCAGCCAACCACTTACCTACTAAATGAAGATCTACAAATTATGTGATGCCTGTGAAGCATAGACGAGCATATATCCAAAAAGCATGGGTAAAAGAGTCTCTATGAGTTTTATTGCACATAGAGTATAATGTCCAAAGGCTTAAAAGGAATTGTATACTGTAAGACCATTTACCTTTGGCACAAGAAGGTCAAAATCACTGTTAACTGTCGAATGTGAAACCTGACAACTTAGGGTGTGTCACAAATTTAAGAAATTCTTTTTGGATTTTGAGCATAGTCAATGGCACATCTCCAGCCACCTGATTCACATCACATGCCAAGGGTACCAAAGGTAAATTGTCTTATTGTATTACTTTTTTGGCTTAAAAACATAGGAACTGAGATTCGTATCAAACAAAATCTCCAAATAAATACGCTGCAGTTACTGGCACATGGTATGGTCTAAACTCTATAAATTGCAATAAGGAACTGCTCATTGATGTATATACTATGTACTATCATGAATATGCACCTGATAATTTCGAAACCATATGTGGTCGTCAAGGATCGAGAAAGCAAAGACATGGTCATAGAATGGTTTAGTTTTCTTGTGATCCTTGGGCGTTCCAAATATCTGCAGAAAATAACTCAATAGCCATGTTGGTTAGTGAGATCAGGTCAAAGAACAGTTCGAGATTCAGTTTGGCCAACAACTAGTATTGATAATCCAGAGCACCTAAATCTTTTCCAAAAAATTGAAGTACATAGACTAGATATAAGTTGCAAGAACAGGCAAAGGGAAAAAACAAAAAAAGGAAAACACTAGTAAGAAAAGGAATAAGAATGAAAACGCAAGTGAAAAAGCAGAGGAGAGCACCTTGAGATAAATAATTAGAAGGAGAGATAAGACAATGGAATGGAGCTCGGTTCTCAATCAAGAGAGTAGCACCTGTGCTCCGAAGCCAGACATTGGCCTCTCTTATTAGCTTACGAAAGAAGAAAACATTCTGACACTGTCCTAAAATATCTTCTCCATAATACAAAATAATCTATGATCTATGATCTTATCTTACCTTTTTTTTTTTCCTTTTTCTTTTTTTCTTTGTAACATTTGCATAGAAAGCTATACAGAATGCCAAGTTCCACTTTAGGGAGAAATATAAGACAATGAACGAAGTCATAGTACAATAAAAATGAGAAGTACAATTTGACCATATTAATCCGAGTAACTTAATTTGCCTAAAAAGACATGAGCAATAGGACTTGAGTGCCTCGCTTATTATTAAGCTATACCATTCTTCCAAGCCACTGGGTCTTTGTTTCAAACCTCTCCTTACCCGACTCAAAAATATCATAACAAATATAAAAAGGGAAAAGTTTATATAGTGTTGAGGCTCTGAACAATCAAATAAGAGCCTACCTCAAAAATTTCACTAGAAAAGGTTGTTTTGATGCCCAAATATCCTCAAATTGATCATCTCGACATCCAGATGCAGGGACATGAGAAAAATTGGATTTCAAGTCGTGGAAATAGTGTAGTTTGTGATGCATTTTTGGACCATCAATTTTCAATATTTTCAAGTTTTCATAGAGCTGTCGATCTACACTATTTTTGAAGCTTTAAAGTTTAAACTTTGTAAATAAAGATGAAAATATATTTTAAGGCTATCACAAAGATTTCCAATATTGAAACCACATTTCTCAACACTTTTTGAACGTAGGCTCTAATTTGATTGTTTAAAGCCTAGGCTCTATACAAACTGCACCTGTATAAAAAAAAGAGAAAACACACACCTGAGTGATCATCTCTTTCAAAAGTTGCCAATGAGGTTTCATATCAAAATTGGTTGAGAAAGTCAAAATAGGCCTTGAACACTTCAAATGATTACCAGTCAGCTTCAGTTCTTCCATTGTGTGTACTAGAAGCAAATATATTACAACTTTAATAAGATGATAAGAAAATGGTCAATATTAAAAAATTTGTTTCATACGAATTGGGCTTGGGCTTGGGCTTGGGCTTGACTAGTCGGCAGTTGATGTTAGCAGTGCTACATCTCAAGTTTGATTCCTACAGCTGAATTACCCAAAAAATAAAAAAAGGAGTATTTCATTGAAACCTGAAACAGTAAATAAGCAGAATCTCCTTTTTAAAAGAGCGCAAACTTATGCAAATACCAGTAGCCAGTGACACCCAAAATAATTTTGAAGGTTTACAAAATAATAAGCAGACTCTCCTTTTTAAAAGAGCACAAAATTATGCAAATACCAATAGCCAGTGATACCCAAAATAATTTTGAAGGTTTACAAAACATAAAAGTTTTTTTTTTTTTATAGTGTTAACCTCGTATTAGTGTATACAGTATACAAAAACTGCCCAACCCAATGGCACAAAAAAGCCACAGAGAACATGGCAAAAACAAAACTATACAAGCCAAATTACATAGGAACAGTTATGGTTACAAACCTAAGGCCCAATTTCAATGCACCTTTTTGGCAGTGTAAACAAATCTCCCCTATATTTGCGCCTAAGAGGGTGACGTGCCCGCTTGGCATGCTAGCATTCACGGTGCTACTAAAATTTTGGAAACCTTCTTATTAGCAAAACACCACTAATAAGTGTTGTTTTGCCCTTAGTTAAGCGATTCTCAAAAAAAAAAGAGTTGTTTTGCCCTTATAGCTAAAAGAGGAGAAATTTCCTTCTCCTCTATCCCCAGAAATTGGATAGTCTTTCAATTGGTTGTGGCCATTGAAGACTACCTACTTTCACAATTGCTCATAAAGGCAACTAAAGAAACCTGGATATGACTACTAGGAAGTCCAAATGGAACCTAAGTATGGCTAGGAATTTTTAACTACTGGCTAAAAACTTCGATAGCTTGCTAACACAACAGCCATACCTGCATTAACCAAGAATTTCACAGATGGACCATTGGAGCACTTCGCCATCCAAAGGTATAGATCTTTCTGTTTCCTACACTGGAAGCAAATCATATACTGAATTAGCACAAAAACAAAAGCCTGCAAAAGAATATATTAGTTGCATTTGAGCCATTTATGCATTACTCGTAGACAAATGGAAGACTATACATGTTATTTTTTTAACAGAAGACTGTCAACAACAATAAGAAAATGTCATCTTTCCTCCAAGAGCCATATGACAAGGAGCTATCAAATGACCATTCAGGAAATTACAAAAAGAATGATCTCTTTAGCACCATGCTCGTATAGACTGCAAACCATAAACCAAGAGCAGACTATGAATTTTGGTGCTCCTTAAGTTATAAGTCAAGGCCAGCTTTTAGAAAACATGCTTATTTGAAAGGGTATGGCTATGAGCCTATGACATGCACATGCTCCTCCAAAACACACACACACTCACTCTTATTAAGACACATAAGTATATAGATACTTAAACACGGAATAAGTGCACATAAAACATACAAATTCAATGTCAGGGTACAAGTGCAAGCATGCTTATGGGTCCCTGTTGTGTTGTATAGACTGCAAAATTATGTTACAAGAGCAGACTATGATTTCGATGCTCACTCACTAAAAACATAAGTTCGTTTTGCCTGTCAAAAGTATGCTTATCAAAAAATGTATCATCCAAGGCCCTCCTCAATATGTAGCAGAGAAATTCCCCTTTGGAAAACTTTCTCCAATGCTGAGTCAAGACACTTCAAGGACAAGCTTTTTCATGAAGTGAGGGATTTATGACATATAGACAGATCTGGGCAAAGTTTTAGTAGGAAAGAAAATGCAGGATTCAAGTTATAGATCAAGAAAGCAAACTACGATGCTATTGCCATCCACAATTAAAACCCATGGGCATTACTGCTCATTGCATTAGCATACAATGGAAAATTGAATTCATAACATCGTAGGCCTCTGTCTCTGATTGATCTCTTCTTTCTTCAATAGCTCCTATTAATAGACACTCAAACAAACACTTTTAGATATAGCCTATAGTAAGAGAAAATTGATGGTGAAACAAGAGAAATTTCTGGACTGACAAGATAAAAGGTAGTTTGTGTATACGAAAGAAGGTAACTCAGCCATCCACACCAATCATCAACATTACAAATAAAAAAATACTAGTTGGGACATCTAGGGAGGCTATAATTTGGTAAGCATGTTAAATGCTAAATCTTTCAAAGCTAAGATGCATTACAGTGGCTGGGGACACATTTTTTCATTTCAAAGCCTTGCAACTTTAAGTGCTTATGCGAGGCAAGAAGGTGGGTACAATAAATATTTCATGCACTAGCCATTTTCACACTTCAAATGAATCAATCATCATAATATTCTAAGATAGATTTATCCCAAAGATGCAAACTACCAACCTTATCACTTTCTTGAAGAGAAAAACAATTCAAATATCTAAAATAGAGGGTGCACCACAACAGAAATAATATCCAGCTGATTTTATCAATTAAAAAACGCTGTTATTTTTTAGGGAACAAAATAATTAACTGACACAAAAATTCTTTTAACAAGAACAAACAAAGCCCCTATGAGGTTTTATCAGATAAAAATCTCTAGTAAGAGAAAAAAAAAAAAACTCAAGAAATAAAATACATTAAAAAACAACCAATCTCACTGAAATATGAGCTCAAGAACAGGTTACCTCAAAGAACAAACCACACGAGCAATTTCGCAACTCCACGAGTTCGTTTAATGTGCCTCCTTTGCTCGCTTTTGATTCCACCTTGCTATCTTTCTTACAATGGGGCAAAAGTGACACTATATTCAACATCAAATGCCGATACCTAAAATCCAGACAAACAATAGAAAAGAAAAATTATACATTCATAAATTTTCTATAAAACAAAGAGCTTAAAAATCACAAAGTAAGTTGTTTGCTAATATAGTGAAAATACATGAAAATGTCCATTACCGATAAATGATTCTTCGGGAGCTTGTGACTAGGACCTTCTCTTTGTTTCTGAAAACTGGAGAAGAGAGAGGTTCACCATTTTTGCTCATTTCCTTCCAGCCAAGTAAGGTTCTCTGTGGTCGCAGAGGAGCTTCTTTCTCTACTTTTTCAGTTGAATGAGGCTCCATTTCTGCTTGTTTACGCTTCTTCCCCATTTAATTCCTTAAACTAAGAGAACTTCTTCTCTTCCGTCCCAGATTTTGTGCAAATTGAAGCGTTTCTAGGATGGTAGAGAATCAGAGAAGCGGGAGTGTATAAGATCAGGAACAGTTCATGCGTTTTAATCGCAACATCGAAACTAAACTTTCAAAACCCTGTATCAGAACACTTATGGAAAACCCTAAAAATCCATGATAAATGGTGCAGGGGGTTTAGGTGCGTCAGCCGATGCACCGATTCAAGTGCGGTCTCTTTCAAAAATACCTCAGGTGGCTTCTCGACTTTAAATTCTACACGTCCATATGAATTTCGGGAAAAAAAAGAAAATTGAACTTTAAAATGGTTAAGAAAATTTAAAATAATCTCTTGAAAACAAACGAATTGAACCTCGAAGGTACTCTGGTAATCTTTGAGGCTCAAGTCCCATATTTTTTTTATATTCTTAGGGGAAATTTATCTAAGAGACGAATTATTGATAGGAAAATTGTTTTATGCGGGTTGGATTGAACAGTCCAAAAAATGTAAAGCATCTCTCTTAAAGATGGATGTAAATAGGTGTTCCATCTAAAAACAATGCAAACTAACCATCCAAATGTTTTCTTACTGTAGTTATTATTTTTAGTTTTTTAATTATTTATGTATTCATATTCATGATCTCATGTTAGAGATTACATGTCTTATAATTAAGTCCAATAATCCATCT